AAACCAAGCTTAATTTGAAATCCATGCACCTCCCATTATCATTTGAAATTCAGGATTTCAAGTTTTGGAATTGAAATGCATGAATTGAAATGAAATGCTAGTTGCCAAACACTACCTAAAAGTACAATACTGAACCTTAGCGCAAATTATTTCATTAAAAATTGGAGATCCGAGCAGCCTAATCTAATGGTCATGATCCATTCTTATTCCTAGAAAAAAATATACTCCCTCTGTCCCGGAGTATTCGTCCAGTTTTAACTTTTGGAATTGTTCATCTAAGCACTTTGACTCATCAGATTCTCTCAATGTGTAAGCCTAAATATAGTCATGTGTGATCTTGTTTGATTTGTCTTAACATATAGATCATTAATATATAATTTCTATAATTTTTTAATATACAAATTACAAGATAAAATAGATTAAAGAAGTGTATTGGATGGTGTGTAAAAATGAAAGAAAGTGGACAAATACTCTGGGACGGAAGTAATAATTAACTATTAAAAAACCAATTCAATCAAAAATTCAGACTTATTATTGTAGCATGTAGCCCTAGGAAAGGTGTCATATAATCTAAGAATAACAAGAGATGTTGGTTATATTCTTCAAAACACGAAGAAATCATTGGCTAACAGAAGGATGGCAACCACCCCAAATAGAAATCATTGGCCTTTTGTCTAAGATCAAGTACGTGTAATATGTGTTCTTCCTTACCAGTTTAACATTTGATATGCTGATAGCTACTAGCTCGTAGGATATTATTAACTCAAATTCTAGAGGGGTAAGGCCCACGTTAAAAGAAAAAAACAATAACTTTGCAGCAGGAGCTTGTGGGATCAATGGGTCAAGATGTACATGGCCTTCCTTACCCCTTGAAGAAAACATGGGTTGTTTCAGTTAGACCCTTGATGCAAAGCTGTGTTTATAACATCCAGTTTCTTTCAATGACTTAAGGTAGTGTTTGGCAACTATCATTTCATTTCAATTCATGCATTTCAATTCTAAAATTTGAAATCCTGAATTTCAAATGACAAGGGGAGGTGCATGGATTTTAAATTAAGCATTGTTTTGAATGCAAAGAATTTGATTCAAATCCAAATTCAAAATGCTTAAGTTTCCTAAACATGGAATTTAAGCCAAATCCAAATTTGAAATCCAAATCCATGTTCCCAAACATACCATAAAAGTATTCATATATGATAAATATTTAATACTATTATACATCTAAATTTATAACACATCACCTCAAACACGAATAAGAATAAATTCCTTTTTATTTATATAGTATTAGGGTTTTCTTACATATTCATTTGAATGGTCATTTAATTGAGTGACTCTCCAAGAAAAACCAAAACACAAGAAAACTACTTTCATTTCCCTGTCTTTCCTTTACGTCCATGATCCAAACATGCCATATATAACACTCATTGACAACACTCAAATCAGCTTCTCAGTAGGGGAAATACGTGGCTGTCAAAAAGAAGAGGTTACAAAGAGGCCATTAGCTCAAAACTTAATAGTTTTCTTAAAAAAAACATTAAATGCTTGCATATAGAAAACATCAAGAAACCTATCAAATTCAAATTAAAATACTTGAACAAAACGGAAATTAGATGCAAAGATGTCGAAGATTGATACCGGCACTTTGAAGAGAGTCCACTGCAGTAATGAGGCTCAGAAGTTTTGCTTGACAAGCAGTGCAATAATGGACGCTCAGAAGTTAAATATATTATCATGTACTCCATTTACTAGTGTGATCCCAGTTTCATCCACTTACAGTGAAGTGTAAGAAACTATGGAGGCTCAGATCCTTTGTGTGAGTGGGTAAATGAAAAGAGACTGCCATGGCTGCAAACATCAGTTATATCTGCATTTGCCCAAATTTCATCAGCCTATGAAACTCTATGCAGATCATCATATCATCATCACGGCCTACCAAGTTTTCTAGGCCTACAAAGATGAATCACAACAACACCCAACTCAAAGATGGATTGAAACATGAAGCATCAAGAATCGGCTAAAATCCTCCCAATTTGCATCATCAACGTCTTTATGTGACTTCCTCTCTCTTACTGCTTCCAGGAGAGAAGGTAAGAGTTTCTACTTTACTATAGTTTTATCCGTGATCTTGGGATGATAATCATGCTTGGAGTTATAAATTTTTTGCATTTCCATTAGAGTCTCAGATCTGAGTTTTAAGACATGCATGGATGAAAAGACAACCAGTGTGGCTGTGGCTGCAATCCTGGCCACTCAAGAAAATTCTTGGGGTCCTGGATTGCCACGCCATCAAGGGACCAGTTTCACCATGGCCAGCAAATGAAGAAATGTATCCTCACAGACTCATATGTAACCGGAAATCTGAAATGTTACTGCTAAATACAAAACTTTTTCTGCCCATTCTCATAGATCTTTCGGCCAACTGCCAAAAAGTTTAAGAGGAAGAGGTAGCCCGAGGAGGCTCAGATCTACGTGACCACTGGGGGCAATGTGAAACCCAAGCTGCCATGGCTGCAATGCTCATGTCTTTCCGCGCTTTGCCCCACCAAGATACAGATCAGATTGAGCTCACAAAATGCCCCAAAATCAGTAGCCAGGAAATCATCACAGCCATCATACATATATTTACAAGCATACTGCATACATATATATTCTCTACAACCTTACTTGAACAGGATCTGTTCAATAAGATAGTACCTCCAAATCCTTTATTGTAGGAAGAAAGTAAACCAAGCCTAGTTGATGAAACAATGCTGGGGGGGGGAGGGGCTAGAGCGAGAGTAGCAGCTTTGGCCAAAGCTGCCATGGCTGCAATACTAGTGCATTCCAATTTGCCCCACCAAGATACAGATTTTGCTCACAAAATGCCCCAAAATTAGTAGCCCGGAAACCATCACTGCCTCTTCATATGTATACTTACATAGCTACATGCATACTACATACTACGTATATTCTCAGAGAGAACAAAGCCCAATATAGTCATAACTTCATAGATACCTTCTAGGCCTTTTATCTAATATCAAATGTACTCCGTAGTATCTGTTCTTTCTTATCAGTTTAAAAATATGTAAGGAGAAAAATCATACCTTTTTGAGATGTACACGGCCTGACGGCCTTACCCCTTGAAGAAAATAGATGTACATGGCCTGACGGCCTTAGAGACTTGGTGCATTTCTTTAGTCCACTATTTACTCAAAGCTAAAACGACGTCAATAATGATTGTTTTACCTCCATCCTTATGGAGCTCTGATCCTTCCATTTAAAAGAAGAAGAAAAAAACCGCCATGGCTGCAAACCTCAGTTTATTCTGGATTTGCCCTGCCAAGATACGGATCAAATTTCCTCAACCAGTGAATTCAAACCATCATCACAGCCTAACAGGTAAAGTTATTGAATCTGCTACCTGATTTCATTGAAAATAAGTTGAAGAGAACGGCCCTAATAGACACACAAGTATGCATCCAGAATCATGGCATGCAGAGAGGGGCAACCACCCTGACAAATGCCAAACCTTATCAGACCATTACCACAAATCTGTCAAATTCATACTCCGTACTGTTTTTACAAAGGGTTGTTAACTATGAAAAGAAAAATCATTGGCTAACAGTGAAGGAAACCTCACATTTCCCTGCAGCCTCATAAGATTTAGGTAGAAACATTATTACTGGCAAACTGCAGAACCAAATTTATCATCAGAGTGAGTCTCAGATCTGTGTTTTAAGACATGAATGGATGAAAAGAAGAAATATATCTTGGTCATGCGTGGTTACCTTTCAGTTACATAATTAAAATGACACTCCAAAATAGAATGGTTTAGAGACTCGATCTGACAATACATTTCTTCTTTTTTGCCGGTGGCTGCAAATCTGATCATGCCTTTCCGTAGGGGACGATGTGTTTGCTTTTGTCAATCGTATCAATATTCCCTATTTCTATTTTGAAACAGTAGCCCATTAACCCTACACGAAGATGCTGCCTTCTGCTCGAGGCACTGCCGGAGGGATCGTGAAGAGGCCCCGAAAAACCAAAAGAGGAGTGAATATGAAATTGTATGACCCTTCCAACTTGATGATCTTCAAGTCGGGACTATGTTGGTCCAGATTTATGGGTGGAAAGGCTATTGGAGAGTCGGGTTGTCTTGTTTTAGATGAGCGAGATTCAATTATTAGGTTAATAGCTTTTACAAAAGGTGAGTCAGAGTTTGTTATCCCGACCCCTATTCTTCATAGATTCGACTCGCACCACTTTGACTTGGCTATGAGGGTTCGGATGGATACTCCCCCCTCGTTTCGTGCAAGGGAGCAAATCGAAGAAGCACCATCACCTGGGCCAGCACCAACGCCAAAAGAACCAGAGCCAGCACCAAGGCGGCATACATGTTTAAGGGGGCATAAACCTGACTCCACAAATTGTAGCAATTTTCGTGATAGTGATTTGTTGGTATAAACTCCTATTCTCAAGGCTCGTGGATCTGTTGTTTCTATTGTGACTTACGACTTACCAGGTACTGTGTTTTACTATAAAATGTACACTCGTATTATTGTGATTTATTTTTAGACTTGTTTTAGCTCAATTTGAATTCATGTGATAAAATTTAGAATTTAAATTTCAAGTTGCAGTTATTTAATTACCCAATAGAATACTTAGACACCTTGACACAAATCACAATAAAAAGTTGAACTCAACCCATTAGCTTGTTCATTTCAAATGCTTACTAACTCATTACATTTTTTCTACACATTTTTTGATGTTATATATTCTCTCAAAAGATTTTGTTATTTATTGTGTAGATGACATACACAAGCGTTGCGGCAGTTTAACAATAGTGCATTGCTATTCCTCCAAAGAACCTTTATTTTGGGTTCGAGGATGGTTATAGACCGTGAACCCAACGCTAACGGTTCTCATCACCTCACAGTTCTCACTACAGCAACGCTCTTTAAGCGTACAGATAATATTCAACCCACTGATGTTGTTGTAAGCATGACTCTTTACTCTTGTTCCACATGAAGTTTCCTTTACTATGTTTGCTTTTATTCTTAACTGTTCGGATATTTTTTTGGTTTTTATTTATTTTGAAATGGTTATTTTATAGTTGGTTCATGTTTTCAAAAAACTTTCAACAGGTTGACGTGTGTTTGCTGAAAAGAGATGAATTGGAAGCCGAAGTGATATGTTGTGACTTCCACTGCAATCTTATAGCTGCTTATAGCTGTGAGGGTTGAATCAAATTGCTCAATACCGAATGCAAATATGAAGTTGGTGGATCATGTTCTTCTATGGATCCAAATGAGTTACTCCCACATTCTTTCCAACTCAAACCACATTCTGATCGCGCCAAATTAGTACCAACGGCATTTATGAGGTCACCATCATGATGGTGCCTAAGACCTATAACCAAATCACCCGGTATTAACTTGGCGCGATCAGAATATGGCTTGAGTTGGAAAATACGCAGGAGTAACTCATCTCATCTGGATCCATAGGAAGAACATCATCCACAAATTTCATATTTGCAACCGGCATTGAGCAATTTGATTCAACCCTCACAACTATAAGATTGTAGTGGAAGTCACAATATATCACTTCGGCTTCCAATTCATCTCCATCTGGAAAACACACGTCAACTTATTGAAAATTTTTTGAAAACATGAACTAACTATAAAATAAGTAAATAACCATTCCAAAATAAATACAAAAAAAAAATCCGAACGGATAAGAATAAAAGCAAACATAGTAAAGGAAACTTCATGTGGAACAAGAGTAAAGAGTCATGCTTACAACAACATTAGTAGGTTGAATATTATCTGTACGCTTAAAGAGCGTTGCTGTAGTGAGAACTGTGAGGTGATGAGAACCGTTAGCGTTGGGTTCACGGTCTATAACCATCCTTGAACCCAAAATACAGGTTCTTTAGAGGATTAGCAAGGCACTATTGTTAAACTGCCGCAACGCTTATGCATGTCATCTACACAATAAATAACAAAATCTTTTGAGAGAATATATAACATCAAAAAATGTATAGAAAAAATGTAATGGGTTAGTCAGAACTTGAAATGAACAATCTAATGGATTGAGTTCAACTTTTTATTGTGATTTGTGTCAAGGTGTCTAAGTATTCTATTGGGTAATTAAATAACTCCAACTTGAAATTTCAATTCTAAATTTTATCACATGAATTCAAATTGAGCTAAAACAAGTCTTAAAATAAATCACAATAATACGACTGTACATTTTATAGTAAAACACGGTACCTGGTAAGTCATAAGTCACAATAGAAGCAACAGATCCACAAGACTTGAGAATAGGAGTTTATACTAACAAATCACCATCACGAAAATTGCTACAATCTGTGGAGTCAGGTCTATGCCCCCTTAAACATGTATGCCGCCTTGGCGCTGGCTCCGGTGCTTTTGGCCTTCGTGTTGGCCAAGGTGATGACACTTCTTCAAACTGCTCCCTTGCACGAAAGTAGGGGGGAGTATCCATCCGAACCCTCATGGCGAAGTCAAAGTGGTGCGAGTCGAATCTATGAAGAATAGGGGTCAGGATAACAAACTTAACAAACTCTGACCCACCTTTCGTAAAAGCTATTAACCCAATAATTGAGTCTCGCTCATCAAAAATAAGACAACCCGACTCTCCAATAGCCTTTTCACCCACAAACCTGAAAATCTAGACCAACAGAAGTCCAGACTTGAAGGTCATCAAGTTGGAAGGTCATATAATTTCATATTCACTCTTTTCTTTTGCTTTTTCGGGGGCCTCTTCACGATCCCACTGACAGTGCCTCGAGCAGAAGGCAGCATCTTCGTGTAGGGTTAAATGGGCTACTGTTTCAAAATAGGAGTAGGGAATATTGAGACGATTGACAAAAGCAAACACATCGCCCCTACGGAAAGGCCTGCGTAATTCTCTTCCGAATTCAAACTCTTCATCTGACCTCATCCCCGTCCAAAATAGACCAGCCCGTAAGCCCGTATCAGAGGCCACAAACACGCCATCATCCCTAAATCCAACATTCCTGCCACGAATATGCAACCATGTGGCGAGATTTGTTCCACTGTCAGTATAAGCCCTCGTGGGTCGACACACACGCCGCCTCCTGTTTTGACACGAACTAACCTTTCCTAGTATGTCCTTGTATATATGCTACATCCAAGGTCCAGATTTTCCTGCAAAGAGAGCTATTCTGCTGTTCCGTACCTCTTCGATCTTCTAATGTCATTGGTGCAAGTCAAGCGATGGCTTGAGTAAGAGGATGAGGAAGAATAAGAAGAAGAAGCCACCCTGCAGTTCTCTTTCCCCTCTCTCCATCTCTCTTTCTCGAATAAAAAGAAGAAGAGAAGAAAAGCCCTAGATCTATCTCTCCCCACCCACTGATGAAACCAAGCCCCCATGTGTGTGTGTGCGTGTTCATTCACATATATCTGATCCTGCTTTTTCGATATCTTGAAAATTTGTGATTGAAAAATATCGATTCTGTGTCTGATCAAGAAATTACCAGATATCCGAGTTTCAAATATCCGAAATTTTAGATCCGGTCAATGAAATATCCGGAACAAATTTTATAATTTATGTTTTTGATTTTTTTATTTATCCAATATTTCTAAAAAAATGAGATGATTTTTTATTTGTTAAAATAATAGAGGTCATAACTCATAAACTAAACTTGACTTTGTATCTGTTTCTAATCTGGTCTAATCTGCCGACCTGACCTGATTTCATTGAAAACAAGTTGAAGAGAACGGGCCCTAATAGACACACAAGTATGCATCCAGAATCATGGCATGCAGAGAGGGGCAACCACCCTGACAAATGCCAATCCTTATCAGACCATTACCACAAATATGTCAAATTCATACTCCGTACTGTTTTTACAAAGGGTTGTTAACTATGAAAAGAAAAATCATTGGCTAACAGCGAAGGAAACCACCCTTAGAAACCTCACATTTCCCTGCAGCCTCATAAGATTTAGGTAGAAACATTATTACTGGCAAACTGCAGAACCAAATTTATCATCAGAGTGAGTCGGATCTGTGTTTTAAGACATGAATGGATGAAAAGAAGAAATATATCCTGGTCACACGTGGTTACCTTTCAGTTACATAATTAAAATGACACTCCAAAATAAAATGGTTTAGAGACTCAATCTGACAATACATTTCTTCTTTTCTACCAGTGGCTGCAAATCTGATCATGCAAAAACACTCTGGATCCTGGACTGCTACGCCATCAAGGGACTGGTTTCACCGTGGCCATCGAAATGAAGAAATGTATCCTCAAAGACTCATATGTAACCAGAAATCTGAAATGTTATTGCTAAATCAGACACCGATGGGACACTGAACAAAGAGTGAATGTGGCTGCGACTGCGAAATTGGCAGGCTCATAAATACAAAACTTTTTCTTCCTATTCTCATAACCATTTCGGCCAACTGCCAAAACGTTTTAGAGGAAAAAGTTGACCGAGGAGAGGGATGAATGAATGAATGAATACTCGTAAAAACATAAAGGGCTGTTTATCTTCTTTGGAAATCATTGGCACGCAGAGAGGGACAACCACCCATAGAAATCCCCATGGATTTAAGCGGCCTCATTCATCCACGAAACTTGAAAATGTAGGCTGGATTTTGATGACATGTTTGGGAAAAAACTCCGCTGGAAACTTCCTGTCATCAACAAGGCATCCTTTTCATATGACAATCCAATGAAAAATTGATTTTTTTTAAAAAAAACTGAGAATTGTAAGCTAAGGGGGTCCGAGCTTGATACCTTGTTCCCAAAAAAAATTAGCATAAGAACCAGATTTACCATCGGATTGAGTCTCAGATCTGTGTTTTGAGGCATGCACGGATGAGAAGACGACCCCCGAGTGGCTGCAATCCTGTTCAATCACGGAATCATGGATCGCCACGCCGTCAAGGGGCCGGTTTCACCACGGCCAACCAAATGAAGAAATTTGTCCTCACAGACTCATATGGTGACCGGGAAATCTGAAATGTTGCTGTAAAATCGAAACTTTTTTCTGCCCAATCTCATAAATCTTTCGGCCAAGAGAAAGATGGAGAAGAAGAAGAAGAAGGAGATGGATGATGATGATGATGAAATAAATAAATAAATAAAATACTCCGTAAATAAATACTGAAGGGCTGTTTTATGTTCTTGGGAAATCATTGGCACGCAGAGAGCGAGAGAGGGACAACCACCCTTGGAAATTCCCAATGGATCTCTGCGTCCTCAATCGCCTCCATTGCTTTTTAGGCAATGAAGAGCAGGCTTGAAGAGGGAGCTTTTATTAGGGTGAGCATGGTACTCTACCGATACAGTACCAAATATTTTGACTCTGTACTGGATTTTACTTCGTACCGATTCCAATCCCAAAATATCGGTTCGGTATGGTTTGAGATGGTTTGGTATCAGTTTCGGTACAAATCGGGATGAATATACATACCTACTTTACATGTTAAAATTTAAAAATACCCATTTATTTTTGAAAATTAAAAAGTGATTTTAAATAAAAAAATTAAAAAATTAAAAAAAATGAATATTTAAATGCAAGCGACGTGTATTAAAATTTAATTTATATTTCACAAAATAAAAAATGAACGACAATAAAGGAGTATTTTGAATCTTTGTGAATACTTTTATGTTCATACACAAAAATTAAAACTCAAATAAAAGTGTAATTTACACATAATAGAACTTGAACCAATTTTTTTAAAAAAAATTTACACGGAGTATTATTTAGTGAAGGAATATAAAAATATTACTCCGTGGTATTATTTTTTTTAATATTTTAGTATATACATTCGGTTCGGGATATTCGGTATGGGACGTCCTCTTGTACCATTCCCAAATACCGTACCGACCATTCGGTTCGGTACGGTTCGGTACTTGTTCACCCCAAGCTTTTATAAACATGGGAAAATGCTACCAAACCATGTCTCTATTAGGGATTAGCAAAAAACCGAACTAGCATGGTACCATACCGGAGCGTTATGGTACCGAACCATTTATAGTGTTTTCAAATAGGATTGATTTTTTTCATCACGAACCGAAACCGAACCGATACCAAATGAAACGTGACCGTGATACATATACTTAAAACCAATTATCACGGACCGAACCGCCCAACGTTATATACCGAGAATGTATCTCAAATAATTATGGAATATTTGTCTACTTCATCTTACCGTGGGCGTATTTTATTATTTGTTTTTAAACTCTCTCATTATTATTGTTGTTATTATATTTATCATTACTATTAGCATTATATTTTATAGTTATTAGTATTCCGATATTATATGAATTGGGAAAAAAATTATTTTTAAAATTTGGACTCGTTATCTTTTATTCTTTATATATGAACCATTTAAATTTGAATTCAATAATTTTATTTAACAGACTTGTGTTTTTTATACAAATTTATACATTAAATTTAATATTCTTTGAATAATGTACATTCATTTTTTTGCACAGTTTAAGCATGGGTATGGTATTGTACCGTTTCGTTTCAAAACGGAATGGTACCGAATGATCTTGGAGTTCATCCCATACTAATACCGAACCATTTAAATAAGAGTGATCCGTGATAAGTTCCGGTAGTATCACGGACCATCACGGACCGTGCACACCCATACTCTTTATTGAGTATTCAATTTATTTCATAGAATATTATATTATTTTATTTAACTATTTTGTAACATACTATTCTCTCTATTTTAAAACTTTCTTTTTAATTATAATCATACGTTCAAATTTTAATAATTTTCTTTATCCATTTTCATTGGTATTTTTATAAAATAATACTATTTTTATGTTAGCTCTTATACTCTACAAAAATCTCAAAGAAAGGACGTTTATTTTAAAAATATTCTTAATCATTAATTTAGGTATAGTATTTTCAAAATTACTCCATGATTCATATTCTGTACAAGTAAAACTAATTCATGCACAATGTCAATTATGAACATATATATTGTCAAAAAAATATTGTAAAATATTAATATGCAATGTCACATTACTACAATGTGGACTGTTATTTTGGTGATAAAATTATAGAACTTCTATGTTTTGTACTTTCTCTATGTTTTGATTTCTTAATCATTAAGGCATGATCATATACTCTCTTTGTCTCAAAATTATAGTCTTCTTTCAAATAATGAATAAAATTTAATAATCCCTCTAGTCCTAAATATCTTTCCAGTTTTTGACTTTTAATTTTTTGGTCAAATAAGGACACACTTTGACTACAAATTGTGAGAAAAATATACTTAATTATAATATAAATTCAATATAATTGGGTTCATCGTAGTGTATAGTTTTGATATATCAAATCTTTATATAATTTATTTATTTAGATTATGTTTAATATGTGGTCAAAGACTGTCACTGTTTAACTAAAAAAAGTCTAAACATTAAAGATTTTTAGGACCGAATAGAGTATATTCTAAAACTACTCTACTTGTTGATAAACTAGTATAAAAACAAAAGGTACAAATTACACATTTAAAGTAAACCAAAAGGTATACATAGAGTGTGCAAAAAATATTTTATTTCATTTAATGATCATAAAAAAATATACTCCCTCCATCCTAAAACTTTCTTCTCAATTTGATTTTTCTCCATTTTTAATTTTTGGCTTTGACTTCAAATTTTACCATCCTTAAAAAGGATTTTTTGAAAATCTTTTTTGCAATCATTCAAAATATAGAGTTAGAAGATAATTGGTGTAAATACATGAGGGTATTAATGTTATTTGTCATCTTTTTTTTCTAATGGGAAGGTAGTTTTAGGACGGAGAAAAAAGGGAAGTGAGAAGAAAGTTTTAGGACGGAGGGAAAATAAACAAACAAAAGTTATCGAAAGATCAGAATAGTTACTGTGACGATGATTTTGAGACCTGAAGGGAGCACATGTTTATTTTATGTTTATGAAATCGGAATACTTAATAATGATAAACTCTATCAGTCCTAAAAAATTTTCATAGTCTGAATTTTATGCTAATTTTTATCATAAATTATAGAGTAAATTCTATAATTTGTCCTTTATAACTAAAGGGTTTCCATATTTAGTTTTTTATTATCAAATATTACATCTGTAGTCCTTTTATGAATGTTTTTCAACACATAGTCCTTTTTTGATCTTCTTCCATGTGGTGTTAATTTAAAGTCTAAAAGTATAATTTTACTTGAACCTTATGTCCAGAGACACATTCTGATTTTTGTTAGACGGACATAAAAATAATGACTATGATTGTGGGCTAAGATTCCAGTGAAAGGCCACATTTGTAAACTATGGTGTTAGTAGATTACAACTGTAATTCACAAACGACACATCATAAACGGTCTTTGGAATTGTGTATGACAAGGAGAATATATTATTATTGTGAAGTTACACTTTTAGCCTTCAAATTAACACCAACATGATAGACGATCAAAAAAGGTGTATTTGTGGAAAGATGCCTATAAAAAAAGGACTATTGGAGTAATATTTAAAAATAGAGTACTAAATAGGGAAATCACCATGTATAATGGACCAAATATGAAACTTACTCTAAATTATAAGAAGAGTACATTCAATTATAATGTAAATTTAGTATAATTAAATTCATTTTAAGATATAATTTTAATATATGAAATTTTTATATCTTTTACTCCCTCTGTTCCACTGTCTTTGTCCACTTACCTTTTGGCACACCATCCAATGCACTTCTTTAATTCATTTTATCTTGTAATTTGTATATTAAAAAATTATAAAAATTATATATTAATAATCTATATGTTAAGACGAATCAAACAAGATCACACATGACTATTTTTAGGCTAACACATTAAGAGAATTTGATGAGTCAAAGTGCTTAAATCAACAATTCCAAAAGTCAAAAGTGGACAAAGACAATGAGACGGAGATAGTATTTAATTAAAATGATATTTAATTTGTTATAAGAGATAGCCTAAAAGTCAAACTAAGACAATCTGTTGAGATACTAGTATAGATTTAAACAACTTAAAATAAGCAATAAACATATACCCCCGAGTATTTAAGTTGATTTATGAAATAATTAATATTAAAATTCTAAAAATAATTTAAATTAAGTAATAAAAAATTAATGCTTTGAAAACTCTTTTTTTTTGGAAAATTAATTTGAGACATTAAAATGGTTCAAACTTCAAAGTTGGAACAAAGCAATACAGCATGTAAAACAAAAAAAAGTTCAGTCGGTGGTGATCCACAATCCATGGTAAAGTTTAAAAAAGAGGAAAGTGACCAAATTTATGTCTCTCCCAATATCTGAATGATTGTTCCATGCCTTCCATGATTTCATCACTTCAAGAAAACCATCACTAAACCTTTCAATTTTCTGAACTAAACAGTGTCATCATCATATCACTACGTGTATGAGAAAAGGAGCAAGTAAAAATGGATGTGGGAAGAAGAAGAAAAAAACCTGTGGTGGAAGAGTCTGTTTGGGAGAGAAGGATTAGACTTGATGAAGTCAAAGGTGGGATCAAAGCCCTTATTAACACTTCCCAATCAGAAGAAGAAGAAGAAGAAAACCCAGAAAGAGCTGATGACCAAGATCCCACTTTTGCTCCCCACATCAATGATGGTGTTTGCCAAGAAGATGGTAAAGTGGGTATGGGCCCAAAACCCAGTCCTGGTGGGATTGGAAGGAGGAAAACTTGGAAATCTGAATGCTTTGAGCTCAACCCAATTCAGATTGCAAGAAAAACAAGATCCCATTTGACCCTGAGTTTGGATGAGGAGAAATTCAAGGAATTGGGTCTCAAAAGCCCATCTGAGAAGATGAAGCCAAGAAAAGCGAAGCCCTTCATGGATAACAGCAGAAATGAGAAGATTCTTGAATCAAGAAAGGATTTTTATGAGAATGTGAATATTTTTGGGACTGTTCAAGATTTTGAGGGAAATGGGGCTTCTGTTGATGGGTCGAGAGAGATATCTAAAGGCTGTTTGGAGGATAAGAGTGAGAATAAACCAACTGGGCTTCAGATAGCAAGATCTGGGGAGAAGTGTGAAGAACAAGAAGAACAACAAGAAGAAAAAGTCATCACTAGAAATATTGCCTTTGATATGGTCAAATCTACCCTTAAAGTGGAAGGGGGTGATTTAGATGAAGACCAGTGGGAAGAAGCCCTAGAAAGCACCGAAGTTAATGTTGAAAATATAAGTAATGTGTCAGCAGAGAAGAAGCTTGATAATGGAAAAGAAAGAAATTTTCCCATTTCATCAAGAACCAATCCAGGTTCCCAGCCACTTCTTATTTATATCATACTTCTAATTTAGTATATCCTGAACTTGGGGTTTGAGTAATTATATATGTTGGTGCATTTTAGTTCCAGTTTCAGAGGAATCCTGTAGAGCTCTTAGACCTCACAGCAGAATGGAGAGCTATGGTGAGTTGTGGCTGTCTTAAGCTTTTTGATTTGATATGATTCCTAACTGTTGCAATAATGTACAGAGATTCATACTTTTAGGTCTGATTTTTTGAAATTGGTTCATAAATGTCTCAGTTGATCTAGTGATGTGGAGAGATGTCTCAAGATCAGCACTTGTTTTCGGTGTTGGATCATTTATGATAATTTCTTCTTCATATTTTCAAGATTCCAATATCAGGTTTGGGTTTTACACCAAGAATGTTTTATGGATAAAAGAGAGAAAAAAGTAGTATTTTCAATCCATTTCATAAATATATCAAGGCTAAAGATCTAAACTTTTTACCTTATTGGGATTTCACAGCTTGATTTCTGTGCTTTCATACATGGGTCTCGTATATGTTGCGGTTCTTTTCATTTTCAGGTCCCTTATTCACAGGTAATTTGATAAAGCACCTGTCTTTACAAAGTTCTTTTTGAAAATCCTGCTCCATATTTACTTCCTTTGACTTTTTCTTTCTCTATATCTATTATCGAATATTCTAAAAGAAAAAAAAATTAACCTAGGGAGGCCATACACGTAGGCGAAACACGGGGTTTTGTTGTTGAAGAGGATGAAGCAATGCACATAGTAAAAATGATACTCCCTTACATAAATGAGTTTCTCTTGAATATCAAATCGTTATTCTATGGAGACCCTGCAACAACAATGCAGGTAAAAAATATCTTTAAAATCACATTTTTAGAATTGTTGCCTCAATATAATTTCCTATACTCGAAATTTTTAAAACACAATTCCAAACCTCTACTAGAACTCTAGAAGTTGATTAACTTAATGCAATCAATATGCAGATGGCTGTGATACTCTTTGTTTTGGCACATTGTGGCAGTTCCATAACCATATGGAAGATGGCTAAATTAGGTGAATTTATTACTTCTTCGTCTTTCCTTTATAATCATCGGTGTATCACAAATGTCATAATGGTTTGGGCCCTTGGGGAGGGTGCGTGTACGCAGACCTTACCCGTACATGAAAGTTAGACAGTGAATGATGAAACAAATGGATCATGTTTTTTGTAGGCTTTTTCGGAGTCTTCATGGTCCCAAAACTCTGCTCTTCATACTCCTCTCAGTTAACTGCATTCGGTAAAGTTCTATACTCCTTTCTTCAACTCCATCTAATTGTTGTCTGCATTTTTCTTTTTCCTTCTTTTGCCACATAAATTTAATATTTCAAATAAGAAATTAAAGCACAAATATGAAGAGACAGATGCTTTTTTTTGTAACATGTTTGAATAATATTGACATAAACCATGATCTGTATTATAGGTATGTCGTGGATAAGACGTGCTAATGCCTTTTTGGAGTCATTTGCTCATAAGAAAGCCATTGCAATCGGCACTTTTGCGCTGGTATGGATTCTTTCTTCTGCCATTGCTCGAATCTGGGAAGGTAAAACCATCAAATTCGACTACAAATTCCCAAAATTAATCAGCCCATATAGCAAATGTAATCTCTTATTCCCAAAAATGTACAGATTTTCATTTCGTCGACGTTGTTTTTCCTTTTTGGAATGCAGTGTTCATGGTGTATGTGGCATTTAGATACTATAGATTATCGGTGACGAGAGGGCCCCACTCGATAACAGATGAAACCGACACCAGGCCGAAAGACGAAGATTCCATAGGCTTGAATGGTAGAAGGATAACCAACTTACCAAACGGACACGCAAAGGCAAAATAAAAGCTTTGTAAGTCTATAAACTTGACACAATGGATTGGCTTTTCTTAAGGTTTAAACACACTTTTGGATCAAACCACATAAAAAGTAGATTTAATATATTACATAGTTCAACTCAAAGCCATTGGGAATACTTTTGACAATAGTGATCATATCTAACGCGACGTTTGACCGTTTTGTTTTGACCATCGTATCTTGGCAGGGCAAACTCCAGATAAAGAAATGGTGTCCTATGTAAAAAAATTTTGAGATGTGGGTACATTGCCTCCTTTTGCTTCGTAAATTTTGTCAGTAGGACTTTGCCCAAAGTCTAACCCATTTCTTAATCGGGTTTTTTCTCTTGTCCCAAATATGAACTTCTTGATAAATTTGACCGAATAATGACTAAATTTCACATCGAACCGGAGTAATTATTTGGAATCGTTTTGGCTGACAAACCCATGGATATCGGACTTGGATCCAACCATGGGTGGACCTAGGGGGTCCGGTGGTGCAACTGACACCACTAAATTTCTTAAGAACACTATTAGGTATAATGTAATTTTAAAAAAAATTATATAATTAATAATAATACATTTAATTTATATAATTTTGAATTATCTAAATGTTCGAGCAAAAAACTACTTCCTCTGTCTTAAAAAGATATTCTCGTTTTAACTTTTAAAAAATTCAAGAAAGAGATACTTTTCAAAGTGATGTGTAGATTTTTAGTAAAACGGTATAATATGATAAGTAGATTAAGAATTACTCCGTAGTAGGGTAAAAATAATTTTTTGATAGAATTGGGAATGACGCTATATCCTCCATTCCACTCTAGCAAACAACTCAAGTGAAAAGTCATTATTGTAAAATAGACAAAGCAAACATGTGAGATTTTGATCACTCCATGTTAACTTTTTGGGAAGAAATTATTTACAATATTTTAACACCATCATCAGTGATCAATCTGATCATCACCATGCACTTTACAAGTTCAATCCATTAAAGCCTAAAGTAGTGATATGTATGAAGCATGATGAAAATGCCTGAAAAAGGTACAAAAGTAATAAACAGAAAATTTCAAATTTTCATAAGTTCATTGCACTGTTGCTTCCTTTGTTAGTGGTATTTTTGATCAATTAAACAAGTTTAGTGAGATTTTTGTCAAAGTAAAAATTTGAGTGGTATTTTTTTTTAACTACCCTCCATGATAAACACTTTGTTGCTATCCCTTTTTCAATACTTAAATTTTTTTGCACCATTTACCTCTTAAATTTTTAAAAAATGTATGAATTTACCCTTGACTTTAACAATTGCATCAATGTCCCTTGAATTTTTAAAAAAGTTGCACCAGTAGTTCTTCTATGTCATTTTTGGGAGTGCATTAATCACACGATCATCCAGTGTGAGTATGGACTCATTTTGAAAGTATGCATGGCAGATCGATTGATCTTCATTAAATACATTTCTATCTTAAAATAAAAATCATTACACGCTTCAAAAAATTGGATGAGAGCATTTCAGATCTGTGTAATAATAATCGAGAAAAATCCAAAAAAATTAAAATAAGATCGCTGGAGAACAAACAAGAAAAACATACAAAAAAACGATCCAAAATGTAGGACCTGAGGACAGAGACCTCGAATGAAATCTGGAGAAAGGATTACATTTTGTTGAAGAAGATGAACATGTGGGATAGAGAGAGACGATACGGACGGAATAAGTGGTGTGGAATGAAGCAGCGCAAATGGAAGACTGGATATACCGTAGGTTTTAGGTTAGTTTTTGTAATGAGCCGGGAGAACTAACCAAATCTGTGTGGGCTTATATGTTTTAATATTGGATTGATAGTCCAATACTTTTATTATTTTTAAAAACAATTTAAATGCTTATTAAAACTTTAAATATGTTGAAAAGTTAATCATACGTTAATTTTAAATTTGATTTTTTAATAAGATTGAATTTTTTTTATGAATAATAATATTATTACAGGTAAAGATGTACAAAATACAATGCATTTTTGCTCTTCTCATATTCACGGCCCGTTAAGTATATTACAATCACAAAGATTTCCTCTTCAAAGAAATATCATGAGTGACATCACAAATGGTTAGTTCTTTAGGTTATACTACCTCTGTGCATAAATATTTGTACAGATTAAGTTTTTTTAAATTAATTATATATATATTATATTAAGAAAGTAATATAATATTTTGAAAATAAGTAAGATAATGCATGTAATAAAAAAAATTTTGTTTCAATTTCTAAATTCATTTTTTATAAATTTTTCGGGGCAAAGTTTGTCATTTTTTACAAAAAAAAAAGACAAACACTATGCGACGGATAGAGTATATTTTATAAGTATGAAAAATATTAAAGTTCCTACCTCTTTTTATTTAAAATATTTTGTCTTAAAATCTATTGAAACTTAATTCTTTTTTGTTTTTTATTTAGTTGATTATACCACGCAACTTACACCTCAGATGAAGTCACGAGAACCTAAATTGGACCGTCACCAGACTAGCATGAATAATTTTCTTGAAGTGGCCGTATTATATAATTCTAAATAGTTTAAAGGTTGGCTATTGCGTTATGCACTTTATTTATATTAGAGTTGAAAAATGCTTAACTCGACGTAATTATCACCATGTCTTTCATTACTTACTAACGTTATAGATTTTAAAAATAGCTTTCGTAAATCCATTATAATTATTATTCTAAGTTTTACCTAAACAGATAAGTTATTGGGGAGATAGCAGGACAAACGGTTTTAATACCACGTGTTTCATTGACGCCATCAAATACCAAAATGCCATTTAAGTTTAAAAGAAGACAATTTCCGGTCATGATGTCATATGCGATGACCATAAATAAAAAGTCAAGGACATTCTCTCTCTCATGTTGGTTTATTCTTGAAAAAATTTGGTTTTAGCTATGGACAGCTGTATGTAACCATGTCTAAGGTACAGTCTCCCGAGAGTTTAAAAATAATGATATGTAACTCTGATAATATTCCATGTAATATTACAAACAATGTAATTTATAAGGAGGTTTTTTGATAATGTATAATTGATGTTTACTATATGTTGTTTACTTTACTTCATTCTAATGGTAGGTACTGAATATATTCTACATTTAATAAACATCTTTATGTTAGTAGATCTATTTAGAATAAACTAAACTTTATAATATGTTATTTAATTTATCTCTCCGTGCGATGCACGGGTGATGCACTAGTTTTCATAAGTTCATTGCACTGTTGCTTCCTTTGTTAGTGGTATTTTTGATCAATTAAACAAGTTTAGTGAGATTTTTGTCAAAGTAAAAATTTGAGTGGTATTTTTTTTAACTACCCTCCATGATAAACACTTTGTTGCTATCCCTTTTTCAATACTTAAATTTTTTTGCACCATTTACCTCTTAAATTTTTAAAAATGTATGAATTTCCCCTTGACTTTAACAATTGCATCAATGTCCCTTGAATTTTTAAAAAAGTTGCACCAGTAGTTCTTCTATGTCATTTTTGGGAGTGTGTTAATCACACGATCATCCAGTGTGAGTATGAACTCATCTAAAATCATATATCACACATAAGTTTTACAATATGTCCTTTCCAAACATTATCTTCTATATTGTTATCATCTTCATCAATCCATATATGATAATTGTTCTCGATTACTTAGTCCTCGGTAATCGAATTCGAAGGCCGAACATCAATCGATAAAGTTTGTCATCAGTTGATCAACCTTTTCATCAATCCATTACATCATCATCAAACTGGAACACATATATTTTTGAGTATTTAATTAATGCACCCTGAAATCAGGCACATAAGGACTACAGGTGCAACATTTTTAAAAATTCGTGAGACATTGGTTCAATTTTTAAATTTCAAGGTGAACCTGCACAATTTTTGAGAAGTCCAGATGTAAATGGTGTAAAAAACTCATTTTCAATTATATTTTCCAGCACGATGAATTTCATTCTTGAGCTCTCTTCAAACCCGTTAGAAAAATAAAGAGTGAAATTTGTCTGTAATATAAACATATAATTCAAGAAGAAGTTTATTTTCTAGGGGTGCCGCCGCCGCCGGTCGCCGGAGCATGCATAGAACACAATGATCATTCAATTCATTCACGCTGATGAATATTATGCATTTATATTTGCATGTGGATATCATACTTTTGATAGTGTTTGATTATTCCTTTTATGAGTTTTCTTTATTCTATTTTTTTTTGGGGGTAGTTTTTTAGTCAAGTATTTATAATGACTTTTTTCCTTCAAAAAAGTCAAAATGATGCTTGTGACTAGTCAAAAGGCTATTTGATGTTTTCTTCTCAATTTGCCTTTTGAACTAGCAAAATGGCTGGTAGTATTAATGTATTATTATCATTTTGGAAAAAAAAATTGACACACATTTTAGTTTCAATTTTTAGCATTTGTCAAAGTACTCTTAAAAAAAATATAATCTTCGCCAATCACTAACTAATTAACCACTTATATCAAATTTCTTGTTTTAAACTATTTAACCGTTAGCTAACTACAATTTGCCGAATTTATTTTTAATTCTGGATGTATCAAGTATGGCAATGTGTATTAAATTGTTATTCATTACGTATTTTACTTGCTGTAAAAATTGACAAACTTTGACCACTACTTAAATAAAATTGATACTAGTATTTTTAAAATATTATTATATTTAATTAATATAACATATACTTTTTATTTAATTACAGGTCAAAAATTAAAAGTGATCGACTGTAAAAAAATCAAAACTCAAAAAATACATAATCGAAGTAGTATTTTAAAATTTATTGTTTGAAGTCTCTCAACAAAAAAAGTATGGCCACAACTCCACAAGACACAGAATCACAATAGCCTCTAGACATAACAGAGTTTCAAAATATAAAAAATTAATTAAATAAGTTTCAAATTAAAGCTTTGAAACAATAATAATAATGACATAACAAAGAGACTGGAAAGTAGAGCATTTACTTCATCTTTTGTTGGTTGTCACTTGTCACCCACTTATTAATCATGCAAACATTAATATATACTCCCATCCGTAGTACTATATTTTTATATTATGAAAAAAATTGTTTCATTATACTCCGTATTATATATGAAGCTTAATGCTAATTGCTAAACAATATTGTATGATTATTATTTAAGAAAAAATTATAATACTCCTTTTTTAAATAAATACTCCGTATTACATTATAACCGAGTAAGTAATTAACACCGAATTATAATCTGATCTTAATGTCACCTAGCGGCTAACTCGACCTTTTTTTTTCTTAACAAGAAAAATAAAAAAAAGGCTTAAAGGAGATCTGGTTATTTAAATCAAGATTTTAAATTATGAAGTTTGGAATTGAAGTTTGGGATTGGGGATGAAGTTCTCCGAAGTTTGGACCTTTAATCTTAGAGGAATGCTACGTTCACAAACAGAATGATCACAAACTTCACAAACTTACCATTTATGGATTAAATTTTCATTTTAAAATTACTTTAGACCATTTAAAATTTTTTATTGAAGTTTACAAATAGTAAATTTATGAAGTTTGTGACTTTTTTGTTTGTGAATCTAGCATTTCTCTTAATCTTAACTAAATTTTGGGGTTCAAAATTAATTGCGAGATACACAGACACACAATGTTTGTTCATTCACAAACATTACGTGTCTTTGTATGTCTGTGAAAGCTTATTATACAAATTTGATATAACATTTTAGTGTATCCTAGATGACATGTTTTTCTAAAATTTTGTGAAATTTATACGTACATTTGATTTGTGGAGGATGAGAGAAATATAAATAATCTAGAATCCAATTATTAGTTATCACACTTTATACTTTAACTACTGGAGTATAAAGTCTAGATTATAGTTAAAATTAAAATGAAAAAAATGATTTAATTCGAGTTTGACGTTCGAAAATTAGAATATGAAAATTGAAGTACATATCTGAAGACTGAAGTGCGTGAGCAAAACAACAAAAAAATATCCTAAAAGAAATAAAATATAGAAAAGTATCAAAATGCGAGTTCAATGTTTTTGTCTCCAAAATAGAAGTCTGTATAGTAGTAATGTGACATTTTATATGCACATTTCACAAAAAAACTTTGGTAATGTATATGGTCAGAAAATGCTCAATGTATCCCAATTTCGACACCACATTAGAAAAATACCAAAATAGAGTAAAACCTGAAGAAAATTACTAAAATAAAAGTTTCATATTTTTATCACCAAAGTAATAGCTATAATGTCAGTATATAATACGGAGTACCAAAGAAAAATGTGAAATACTCCGTATTAATATACAGTGTCTCAATGTCATGGTGGAAATTTGTATTTCGAAGATAATAACATAAAACTTCTATTTTGGAGATACGAGTTACGTAGTATATTTTATGGTGAATTTACCCAAATAGTGCTAAAACATATTGACTTTCCCAATGTAGTACAATATTTTTTTATTTTCCAACGTAGTACCACTCGTCATTTCCATCGCCACTGGACATTGTTCAAACTAAAGGTTCGAAATTGTTGTTGTAACTAGACATTATTCAAGTACAATTTTTAAAGAATAAAAAATTTTAAGTACTACATTGAGAAATGATTTATGCTTTTTTACTATTTCGTGCAAAATTTCACATATTTTATTTCGATTTGAAGTGAATTCTCCTCCACCATGTTGACCCCACCATCTAGCGGGCGTTCAAATAGATTTGTCACTATTTCGTATCTGTGAATGTCTATAAGAAGATGAGCGAAAAGGTATATCAAAATTGGGGTCCCTAATCAAAACTCATCAAATCAGGGTTTATTTTTGGAGTTGAAGGTTAAGTAAGAAAGATTTTACTTGCTTTAATGACTAGGTCAAAATCAATAACTTAAAAACCTCAAACTTTTTATTAGTTTTCAAAAAATTAACTCGTGAGATATCATAGCATTGGAGAGATCTTTTTTTCAAACATTTATTTGTGAGATATTCCAAGTTGTAATTTTTTTTTAATTTTTTTGTTAAAGAAAAGAATATGTAGTTCATAATGTTTTTGATGGTTTTACAACAATTTTAACTAGTTTTATTTTATTTTATAATAATATGTTTCAAATCAACACCAAAACTTCTCCAAAAAAAACCTAACACCAAAAGAAAGCTAAGAGCCAAATGGGAAAATAAGAAAAACCAAACACCACTTTCGTTCACATTCTACTAAAGTTCAAGAAAAATACTACACTTTGGCATGTCCTTTTTGGACTTTTAACTTACTCTTTTCCAAAGTCCTAACTCACATCTTATGTGTATTTTTAATACTGTTTTCAAACTTTAAACTAAATTCTAAAGTTCTCATAATTTCAAAATGTTGCAATCACATCCTTCTGATCATTTTCTTGTTATTTTCCGGAGAAGATGAGACATTGATCCTATTTTCTAAACAATATGGGGCACACATGCACGTTCTTTATTTTTCATTTATTGCTTTATTTTTCCCCATTTTTTAACTTTATTTATTTCTTTGTTCTACCTTTCACAGAAAAGTTTTTAAAATTTGTTTTAAATTTTTTATAATGTTTTTAAAATTCAAAATGCTTTGTGTTTGAAATGAAAATAAAAAACTTAACATATACTACATATATCTCAAATTAAACATTTTAACTCTTTGTTTTCTATAATAATGTTTTTGGTAAATTCAAAACAAAAATCAAAAATAAAAAATGGAAAAATGGAAAAACAAAATGAAAAAATTAGACATCTAAAAAAAGAGTCTTATACAAAAAACAATTTTCCGAATGCCTAAAAAGGCATTTAGAATTGGAATGTTCAACAAGGATATTCATTTTTATTTTTTGTTGTTTTCTTATTTTATTCCTCATTTTTTTGAAGTAATAAGTTTTTAAAATTTCTATTTTAGAAAAGAAAAAATAAAAGTTGTTAAAATAAGATGTACAAATGCAGTATATGTTAATTATTTTCATACAAATATAATTTTAAATTTTAAGAACATCATAGAAATATTTTTAAAAAGAAGTTAAAAAAATTTTGATTAGCAAAATCAACAAAAAGGGAAAAAATAAAAAATAAAATAAGAAATGAGTGCCTCGTATGATTTGAAAAGTAGGCACGATGCCTCCTTCTTTATTGAAAAAATTGCAGGAAAATAATCTGAGAAGGTGTGGGTGCAATATTTTGAAATAACGAAAACTTTGAAAATAAATTTCACAAAAAAAAGATATTGATACATATTTTTTAAACCACAATTATACTAGTGCTATTTTACCATTGGCAGAACACTCCCATATTCATACATTCAACACTGAAGTCTGAAGAAACATTTATTTCCACCAACAGCTCTGTGCTAAATTCATTACTCATCACCTCCAAAGCCCCTTTTTCATTCCTTTTTCATTTATGAAACCCCAAAGCTAAGCTTCCCCACCCCACCCAAAGTGAAATCCTTTTCCAGCTTCTATTGTCAAATTTCATGAGGCCTTTTCAAATCTTCTTTTATATGGAAAGAAAAAGTTCAAAATAGGAATAAATCAGTCTTTCATTCTCTCTGATTCACTCCATATTTCATTGCAGATACTCCGTATAATTCTATAATATAAAAGGATGTTATGAGAATTTTGGAGCTTCTCGTCATAATTGTTATTATCGCAGAAAGATGCTTAGGTGTCTGGGCTTTCTTCTCTCTGTTGGGTTCTTTAAACATCCATGATTCCATGTCAAAGGTAAAACTATAAATTCATATACCCATTCATGATTCCATGTCACTTTTTTACTTTTCATAGAGTAAAGTTTTCATTTTTCAAGCTGTGTGGCACTTTATTTTTCTTGGTTCAAACCCAGTGCCCAAGATTTGAATTTTATTGTGTTAATTTGGTTTCAGTGTGAATTTCTTGATGAATCTTGAGAAAATGGCACCGATAGCATGTGGAAAGAGCTTTTGATGGGTTGGTGGGAAAATCCCCTTTTGAGAAACTGTAATTTGGCGCCTAATTCTCAGATGGGGTTTGGAATTCTTTGTTCATTTCTGGTTTTTGCTGTGTGCTTCGCCCCAGTGATTTCCCAGGAACCAAACACTGATGGGTTCTTTGTCCATAAATTCATGGAAAATATGGGGTTAAAATTTAATTCCTCCAAAGTGCACACCTTTTCTGGTAATTTTTGTTCTTGGAAAGGGGTGTTCTGTGATTCTAAAGAGCAAAGGGTTGTCAAGTTAATATTTTCTGGGTTTGGTCTATCTGGTGTGGTTTCTGAGAACACCATAGGAAAGCTCACAGGGCTTGAAATGTTGGATTTAAGTGACAATAACCTTACTGGTTTACCTTCTGACTTCTGGAGTTTGGGTTCTTTGAAGTCCCTTAACCTTTCTTCCAACAGATTCTCCGGGCCTCTCCCAAATAACATTGGAAACTTTGCCAATCTTGAAAGATTGGATCTCTCTTGCAACAGATTCTCCGGGCCTCTCTCAAATAACATTGGGAACTTGGCTAATCTTGAAATATTAAATCTTTCTTGCAACAATTTCTCCGGTGGCATACCGGAGGCCACAAGTTCTCTCACAAGTTTGAAGTTTCTTGATCTGAGCAGAAATGGGTTTGATTCAAAGATCCCTTGTGGGATTTTGAATTTCCACTTGCTGGTTTCGCTTGATCTCTCTGGAAACAAACTTAATGGTTCTCTATGTGATGGTTTTGGTTCTGCATTTCCCAATCTCCAGTTCTTGAGTCTCGCGGAGAATAGGATTCTTGGGAAGGGGTCTGATATATCTGGGATGACATCACTCTTGTTCCTAAATGTTTCTGGGAATCTGTTCAAGGGTTCTGTTGTTGGCATTTTCGGCGATTCTCTGAAGGTGATTGATCTGAGCAGAAACCAGTTTCAAGGCCATATTTCTCAGGTAAACTTCACTTGGTCTAATTTGGTTTATTTGGACTTATCTGAGAACCAATTGAGTGGAGAGGTTTTCAAGGAGTTAAAGGACAATGTCAAGAACCTCAAACACTTGAATCTTGCACACAACAGATTTTCCGGTCAGCGGTTCCCACATATTCATATGCATAGTTTGGAATATCTCAATCTGTCTGCTGCGAATTTGATCGGTGAGATCCCAAGTGACCTTTCCTCGCTTAGTGGTTTAAGAGTTCTTGACATTTCAAGAAACTGCCTTAGAAGCCGTATCCCATTGTTAAGCTCTAAAACATTACGAATTCTTGATGTTTCATACAATAATTTGAGTGGCGAAATCCCTCAACCCCTCGTTGAGATACTTCCGTCAATGGTTAGGTTCAACTTCTCATACAACAATTTCACCTTTTGTGCTCCACAAGTTCCCCAAAATGCCCTTGTGTTTTCGTTTATCGGGTCATCTAATGGATGCCCCATTGCTGCTGACCCTTCGTTTTTCAAAGGAAAAGCACCAAGGCATTGGGTACTCAAGCTCGCATTGGGCTTAACATTTGCCATGGTCTTTATCCTTCTTGGGTTGCTGTTCTTGGCCTTTGGGCATCGCCGTAGTAAGCCAACTAAATGGGCAGTAAAACAGGCTCCTTCTTACAATGAGGAGGAAGACCAGCAGACTGTATCTGCTGGCCCGTTCTCGTTCAGGACTGATTCGACCGTTTGGGTGGCAGACGTGAGGCAGGCAAACTCGGTTCCCGTGGTCATCTTTGAGAAACCATTGCTGAACTTGTCATTTTCGGATCTCTTAACAGCCACTTCCAATTTTGATCAAGGAACCTTGCTGGCCGAAGGGAAGTTCGGTCCGGTCTACAGGGGGTTCTTGCCAGGTGGGACCCACGTGGCCGTCAAAGTTTTGGTCCGCGGCTCGACCATGACTAACCAGGAGGCTTCAAGGGAGTTCGAGTACCTCGGGCGGATCAAACACCCAAACCTCGTGCCCCTCACGGGTTACTGCTTGGCGGGCGACCAGAGAATAGCTATATACGAATACATGGAGAACGGGAACTTGCACGGCCTGCTTCACGATCTCCCGCTCGGTGGGCCCCACATGCCCGAAGATTGGAGCGCCGACACGTGGGAACACGACGCTGGCAATGGCATTCGTAACGTGGGGCCCGATGGGTTGTTTACGACGACGTGGAGATTCAGGCATAATATTGCGCTCGGAACTGCCCGTGCCCTTGCGTTCCTCCACCACGGATGCTCCCCTCCCATCATCCACAGGGACGTAAAGGGCAGTTCTGTCTTTCTTGACTCTAACCTGGACCCGAGGCTCTCTGACTTCGGTCTGGCCAAGATTTTCGGGAACGGTCTCGAGGACGGGGGTACCCCCGGATACACCCCGCCCGAGTTGCTCCAACCCGAAACAACGCCCACTCCGAAATCTGACGTTTACGGATTCGGTGTCATCCTGTTTGAGCTGATCACGGGCAAGAAACCCGTCGGGGACGATTATCCGGGCAACAAGGAGGGCGATTTGGTCAGTTGGGTCAGGGGGCTGATGAGGGAAAACCACGGATTTAGAGCCATTGATCCGAAAATTGTCGGGACTGGACCCGAAACAGACATGGAAGAAGCACTGAAGATTGGTTATTTATGCACAGCAGAGATTCATTCAAAGAGGCCAAGCATGCAGCAGGTGGTTGGACTTCTCAAGGACATCGGCACGAATTCGTAGACGTTCGTTCTTTTATTTTCTTGACATTCTTGAAGCACATTCAAGAATTTCGCTTGACATGTTTCTCCATAAGTAGTGGGTAAGATTTGCGTACATAAACTCTCCTCAAACTCTGCTTTTGTGGGATTTTATCGGCTTTTTTTGTTGTTTCTCTGTATTAGGAAAGATTTGGATTGTCTCGTGATCTCATCAAGAGATCTCGAGGGAATCTCAGGTACTCTGATAAGCCAAGTTCCTAACTTTTTTTTTGTTTGTTTTATCAATGCATTGGTTATGAATTCTATGTATGAGAGAGCATGTTGCTTCCTAGGCAAGAATTGAATTGATTTATGAATTTGGAATTGGTTTTTCACCAATTCCAGTCTGCAGAAAGTCTGTGCTTCTCTGTGCTTTATGTTGTGCTTTCAAACATTCAATTCAATTTGGGTTCCAGAAAATCAAGAACTTAAGGATCCATTTGGAAAGATGGAAAATGGATTGTGGAAAACAATTCCTGAAAAATGAACTTATTTTCCAGGGTTTGAATAAAAGTTTGGAAAATAATTTTAAAAACTAATTTTTGGTATTAAAAAGTGTGATGTGTTGAAGCAAATTGGAGAAGGGGAGTGGTATGGTCACATTCTCAATCAAATTTCTATATTCAAAATCTCCTTTTTAGGCATAAGTTTCATGTCATAGGCCTTGTTTGGTAAACACAATATAGTTTTAGATATAAAGTAAAATTTAATGGTGTTGATTAATTTTGAAAATGTTAAAATTAAACGTTATCATTAGCGATAATGTTTTTAAAATGCTAGCTCTAAACTATAATGTTCTTGCTAAATGGCCTTATAATCATTGGCCATAACAGTTTTTAAGGTGCAAAAAAAGTGGATAATATTTGATAACAATCTTATTAATATTTCAATAATTTCAACGTGGGTGCATATAATATTACAAAATACAAATACAATTTTAAGAATGAATTGAAGATGTGTTTCACAATTTCATAATGTTTCTTGCTGTGGGCTTATGTTGTTCCCCTTCATGGGGTAACTGCCGTATATATAAGACCCAAAACCCCAGAATGTGATAACCAGAGAGATGATCTTGAAACCACTCATGGGGTCGTTCAACAGTACAACGGCGGCGATGTTCGTGATCGGCACTCTTATGGCATTCAGGACCCCGGCGAGCACGGTGGACCCTAGGAAGACGACCGCCGTGCTACCGAGAACGCCGATTTGGAAGGTCAGAACCGCCCAGACAATCACTTGATAATACCAACTCTCCCCGCCCGCGAAACCTGCGGCCTCGGACTTCATCCGCCCGAAGTCGCCGGACACGACCGTCCCGACTGTCGTGAACGCGAAACCGACGAGCGACACCGCCAGCTGTTGCTCGAGCACGACGTGGAAAGATCTCGTGCCGAGCAACCTCAAGAAGACAAGCTCCGATAGCGCGAATATCAAACCGTGGAGCGCGGACCCCAAGATGTCCCACAAAAAGCCCATCGCGTACTGACGGTTCGTGACGTGCCCGTACCGGTCCGAGTTGGAATCGAGCGCCACGATGACCATGGCGGCCGTGATGACCACGACCGAGTTGACGACGGACGCGTTGATCCTGTTTCTCACGAGGACGAACCCGAAAAATGCAGAGAACACCAGTGACGTGGACGCAACGAGGGCGGCGGTCGAGGCGGGGAGGTAAGCGTAAGCATAAGCATACATGAGATTATCGGCAGCACTCAAGAATCCCAACACAAGATAAGAGATTGCCAGCCTCAGGTCAAGCGGGGTGGGGTGTATTCCGAGAAACAGGTACATGGGGACTAAGATGAGGGCGGCGATGGGCCAACCGGCCACCGCCGCCCACGACATAATCCACTTGCTTTTCCCGCCGTTGGCGAAATAAATGCGGGAAAAGAGGCTGGAAGCGGGGAACGCGACGAGCATCGATGCAGAACTGAGGAGGAGGAGAATCCAGTGGGAGGTTGGCTTGCTTATATAAGCATCATAAACCATTGTTCTGTATGTTGAGATCTTTTGCCACATTGTTTGTGGTTGTGGATGATCTTCCATCTGTGGTTCTCCTGCAAAGATTTGATGATATATATAAGCTAAGAGATGAACACATGAACAATATGAAGAAATATTTGCACTAAATAGCACTAAAACTTAAGTCATTTCCCTAAATAGCATTTAAACAGTTTTATTTTCTAAATAGAATTTAATAATATCCAGAAAAGGAATAATGTTCAGTAATGACGAACATTTACTTGAATAATGACTAATGGATAATGACTAAAAGTGCTACATTAGAAAGAAAAAAACACATATGATGCTATTAAGAGAAAGTCATTATGTTTTCGTGTTATTTAAGTAAATTCCCCTAATATGAACTCATGCAGAATAAAATGGTTAATTGAAAGAAGTCTAAATTAAAAAAACAAACAAACAAACAAACAAATCATGCTCTCTTTCTTCCTTTCAAAACAATCCCATTTCTAATAGTTTAACTTTTTCAAAACTAACTTTTTTAAAATTAATCAAGACTGTTATAAAATTATTCAGAATGGTAGCCATAAATGTTCTTCCCATGTTCCTATTTTTGTTCTTTTTTGTGTGTAAAATGTAAATCCTAGCTAATATGGGTATGTTTGGCAGGCAAATAAGGTGGCTTATTTTACCAAAATGGGTATGTTCCACATTTGGTTATTCATTTTTTAAAGAGAGTCATTCCAAATTTTTTACAAGGAAAATTATTGATTTATCATACATCAAAGATTAAATCTAGTTGTTTGCAAAAAAATAAAATAAAATCAAAATCAGACAAATACTCTGAACATAGAAAATATATCATATCAATCCTTCAAAATGTACCAAACGGGCACTCAGTCTTATAAAAAATATATCTAATAAAATTGTGTAGCTTTAACATTTTCATACTTCCTCCGTCCCTAAATATTTGCCACATTTGTATTCTCGAGACAAAATATTAAGTTTTTTCAATTCATTTAATTTACATATTGGTATAGAAATAAAAAATAAAATTTATATATCAAAAAACTACATGAAAAGTTTTTCGAAATAAGAGGTGTCAAGAATATTTTTATTTTATCAAATAACCAATGAAAACGTAGAAATAAACAAAAGTTCCCGCGACGGCTGAAAAAGCAAATGTTGCAAATAATTTGGGACGGAGGGAGTAGTTAATTTATGCAATTGAAATATCATCAAAAACACAAAATATAATCTAAAATGATGTTCCCGTATAGATGTGAGAAGAAGAAGAAGAAGAAGAAGAGAAAAAATTGGAGTAGAGGGAATGAGGGGGGGGGGGAACCTGGAAGAAGAAGGAGCAATTGTTGGCGCATATGAACGGCGAGATGATCTATGAGAAAGGAAGGGCTATTAGGCAGATTTGTTTATGAAGACATCCAAATACTGTGAAAACCCTTCTTCTTCTTCTTCCTTTCTTACTGGTAATCTGTTATACAGATCTGTTTACTGGCGGAGACGATCGATGAACTCCACCATCGCGATTGATTGATTGGACGATCGATGGACTGTGTCGGACTCTCATCGTGTTTTAGCTGAGTATTTACTCCTTACTCCCTCCTTACCAAATTATTTGCCATGTTTGCTTTTTCAGCAGTCGTTGCGACTTTTGTTTATTTCTACATTTTCATTGGTTATTTGATAAAATAAAATATTTTTGACACCTCTTATTTCGAAAAACTTTTCATGTAGTTTTTTGAAATGTAAATTTTATTTTTTATTTCTATACCAATATTTAAATAAAATGAATTTAAAAAATTTGATATTTTGCCTCGGGAATACAAGTGTGACAAATATTTAGGAACGGATGGAGTATTTTTTTAGAGCCCAGCTGCTTTTGATTTGACCAATATATGCAAAAACTTTATTTTTTTTGGGGCTAGACAGAACAGAACTGCGACTTCTGCTCCGACTGCGGACCTACAGTTAGCATTATTTTTAGTGTGATCATCCCATCAGGTCCATCATCGCTGAGTGTCAGTCAACGCTACGTCAGTTTTTCGCTTTCATATTGTTTTACGTCAGTTTTTCGCTTTCATATTGTTTCTCATCACACTTCAGGGGAATGGATCAAGCTCATCACCGCCCAAGTTTTCAGCAATGTTTTTAAGCTCGGACCGGACCGGCCAGTCCACCCGGTCCGACCGCGACCCAGCTGTTTGTCCGGTCCGGTTTAATCTTAAACCCAGTTTTATTAAAAACCGGAAAAACCCGTATGACCCGGTGACCCGCTCGACCCGGATCGACCCATACGGTTCACGGGTCTGAAGCTTTTCCCATATTTTAGTTAAAAATTTAATGGCCTGAAGGAGAATCTAACCCAGGCACGCACGTCCACTCCGGCATTGAAGGACCAGCTACGCAATTCAACTTTTGGTTTCATTCCATGTACATTTTTTTATATACTACCTTTAATATATGGGCCTTGTCCATACTAATTATTTGAAAAAACCTTCAATTTTTTAAGAAAGAAAGTCAAACTTATGTAATTTAAATTTCCTTTACGAACTTTAAAAATAATTTAAACTACAGAAGATTTTTTATGTAAATATAAATATGAATAATTCATCTAAAAACTATTATCATTATTAAAAATTAAATAATACGGAGTATTTATTAATTGCAAATAAATATGCTACAATATATCTTTACTTTATTTTTTTCATATTTTAACCAATTAGATATAAGTTTGAAACGGTAAGTCATGCGGAGTATATAAAACTTTTGGAGAAATAGTTATTATAGGGTTCGTTGACCGGGTCGTTGACCAGGTTCAACCCGGTTCAACCGATTGACCCTCGACCCACTCGCTTTGTCGGTTCAACGTCCGGTCCGGTTTTCAAAACATTGGTTTTCAGTTGCACCTCCAAGCCACTTCCGGCTAGTTTATCCCTTATTTTTAGAATAGTTGCGCAGTTGAAAGGTGACAAATGATCAACACTCGACATCACAATCTCATGGTCTTTTTGCTCTTGCAGTGCCTCCTCGACGCCTTTTTGTTTCAACCGAATCTTCTTCGACTACACCTGGTTGAAGGCAACCATGATGGACATGAGGTTGTCGATAGTTGGGTTTTGACTCCGCCTGCGACGATGGCGCCCATTTCGCCTTATCCCTCTAGACGGTCGTGTTGGGTCCGGAGAAGTCGGAATACCGTCTTAGTCACTCCGTAGCGCAGATGTCCAACAAGCATTAGTAGCCCACGCGGGGCTACTGTACTCCTCAGTGTAACACTTCAACTCTCATAACTCGAATAAATAAGTTAGCAAACTGGTCTACTAGTAATATAATTTGGTATCCACATGCACGATATTTACAAATCGTTTAAAACCAAGATTTGCTTAAATTAAAAAAAATAGTCTTATCCAAATAATAAATCAAAATATTGCGGAAGTCTTTTAAACAATACTGGACACACTCTCTAAAATAATTAAATAGTTTAATATAATGGCTAAATAAGATAGTTGGAGGTCATCCACTTCACCAATTATCACAAGCAGCTGGGCTGCTCATCCAATCTCTTATTCCTCCTTGCATGTAGTCAAGGACAACAAATACTACACGCTCAACTGAAAGCTGAGTGAGAATATATATAACACTTGAATCAACTTAAAAAGTAGTACCGTAAACATATACAATTGAACGACATCAAACAACAAGACACATCATCATATCACATCATTAATAATCAGGATTCATATATGCACTCTTGTCTCCTCGTCTCCACTAATGGCCAATTTAATGCTTTGAAGACGACATCTCATCAGGGGTACTGCCAGCTGGTCATCCATCTTTTCAAATTACAAAATTGTTGTTCTAGGTGTGCGTTTTAAGTCTGATGTATGTTTAAGTCGCATAAATGAAAGCAGCTACCATCATGCTAGAGTTATGGCAAATTGTGTATACATAGGCACAATGCATGTGGAACGTAGTCCATTTTCCATATTGACACATTCGGTTAATAGTTAACCATCATTTTGAAATAAATAAAAACTATTTATTTGTGAAGAGAAAATTATTTAAAATAGTTGAATATTATTTTGGAGATTTTAATCATCCAAATGTAATTTAAAGATATGAATTTTTTTAATAAACAAATGTGAAGATTATTAGTTAGAGGGCCTGTGAAATTTAATTAGATAAAAAGAATTAATTAATGATTATGACAGATTTAGAGTAAGAAAATATTAAGTTCTGACTAAAAAAAAATTGCTATTAAAAAATTGCTATCGTTTGACAGAATATGACAGAATATATTCCTATCGTTATTAAAAAATTGCTATCGTTTGATTTTTTTCGTCAAACTATGACACTCTTTTTAATTTTGACAAAGGATGTCTAATACTTTTTGTCTATATTTTCTTATCATTTTCTTTTTATTTTCTTATCAACCGAACAACATACTTTTTCTCTATACTTTCTTTTTATATGTCAATCACCTTTGTTACACACACTATTTAGATATATAGTTTCACCAGGCATAGGAGGCAGAAGTGTAGGATTACGAAACCAAGGAGAACAAACTAAATTTTGAAATGGAGGGGGAACTAGCGAGCTGGAGGTCAAACCAGACCGGCCCGGCCTATTGTAACGCTTTGCGCAGTGAGTCAGTTCGAACCGGCATGAATCGGTCGATTCACCCGGTCAAACCAGTTTGTCTTTTCTCTCTTTTTTTGTTGCAAAAATAAGCCAAAAAATTAATCATCTCTAGGAGTCAAACCCTAAACCTCTTGTATGTTGTATTAAGTTATCCACCAACCGAGCTAGAATGTGTTTTGTAACATATTTGATATTTGTTTCAAGCAGTATATATTCTATAATTAAAAGAATAAATATGTATTAAAAGATTTCTTTTTTCTTAAACTAGGATTCCTAACATTTAAAAATACAATTAATTCTAATATGGAGTATATGTTACGAAAAAAATTCATTTGAATGTTTTTGAATATTCGACAAAATATGCAAAGAAAAATAAAAATATTTTTATTTTATAAAACTTTTAATGTACTTCTCAATATGTAAATTTGATTTTAAATATAAATTCACTAATATAATAAAATAAATTAAATTAATTATAATTTAAATCAAACATCATAAAATTTTATGTATAGACGAAAGGAGCTATTTTTATTTTATCTAAAATAGTAATTTTTAATATATATATATATATATATATAGTTATATCAGTGTAGATTTAACAAATTTAAATGAAAGACACATTGTCTGATTTTTTTTCAAAAAAATGTATGCAGAAACAGATACAATATCGTAATTAAATTTATAACACACATTCAGATGAATGTAGACTTAAAATCATCCGCATTTACTCCGTATTTAATCTAATCATTATACAGAGTAACTTGTTATTCACTGTGTGGAATTCTATCCATTCCAAGATTAATCAAATGTTTATTTGTATTCTCATTATTTATTATTTATTTATGTGCAAATCAATCTAGGAACATTAATTATGGAGTGAAGAATTAAATTAGGAGGAATTAATACATGCCAATGATAGAATATATGTTGTTGTAAGTGTAAATTTTATACTATAAAAAGTCCATCATATGGATAAAATATCTTTTCTACCCACCAAATTAATTATTACTAATGTTGGAGAGACCAACTTATAAATGTAGGAGGCTTTTGCTTCTTCTTCTTTAAAATTTAAATTTTCCCGGAGCAATTAAAAAATATCTGTCAAAGTTCTCTTCAATTCGGTCTAACAATGGCCAAACACTCCCCAACGGCATTTTGTGCTCTGATTTGTCTTATCCTTGCAACAGGTTAGACAGATCTACACCCTTCATCCTTCTTTGATTTCATTTTTTCCTTTAATCGGACGGCTAGCAACAATTTGTTTTTTTATTCATCATTACTTGCAACGCTCTTTGTCTGGTCACATGAAAAAAGGTTTTATTTAGTATTTACAAATTTCATGTGGTGATATTACTCTTATATTTTATAAAGCATTTGATCACGTATTTAATTGATCATTTGATAAAATAAAATAGTAATGCTATTTTTTATTTTATAACTCAATTGATGTAGCTTTTTAAGTATGTAATTCTTATATCATTTTTCATATAAATTGAGTTATTTTCCAATTGGCAATAATAATTTGTCGCTAAAATAATAATTCTTATATCATTTTTCATATAAATATTGTCGTAAATAATTTGTCGCTAGTTCAAATGGATAGAAACACTGTAAAAAAACTAAATTGAGAGTGTGACATTATATGACAATATCCTCTATTGTCATAAATAGATCGGTATAGTATTTGTATTGGTAAAGTGAATTTTAATTTATTTGAATGCTCATTGGATTCAGGTGCTTTGTCATGTGAGCTATTTCGTAGTCCTTTAGCGTCGTTGCAAGCGGGTGATGCAAATGCGACGTCGCAC